CTCCTATTTAGGGACTTGAGGGCCCAAGTACACAATAACGAGGTACAGGGGTTTTAGGGTATACTCATCTTTGTATATGTACATACATACCTTTCGAGGGATGATGTAGGGCATCCCACACCCCGATTCTCTGCTAGGAACCAGTGAGCACACAGGCCGCCCTTAAGGATACATACGGATTTTTTGGAGGGGCCTCAGAGGCCTCGAAACCCGTGCCAAAAATGCGGGTCCAGAGTCTAGGGCCCTAAACCCTAAACCCTAAACTCCCTAAACCCTAACCCCAAACCCAAAAACCTGGTGCAGGGTGCCCTGGGAGACCCTTGGGAGGCTTCCGCTCTTGGGATCCCTGGACACTTGTCGAAGGGTCCTACGCTTGCCCAATTCTTGTGGGAAGGTTATACTACAGAAACGCATCTGAAGATATAAATAAATACATATATATATATACACATGATTTACATATATATATATATACATCTACATATATGATATTACATTATGATATATTAAATAATATTTGCATTGAAATGATCCATGCTATTTATATGTTTTGCTTATTTCGCACACTCACATACCTCATGCAGGTTTACAGCACTGTGGAACAATGATGCTGTGCAGATGTCGTGCATGAATCTGGACTCCGCTTCAAGCAGACAGCCAGAGATGTTGAACCCCCTAGCGCCTGCACCCGACTCGCCACACACCTAAACATCAAACTCCTAACTCCGAAAAAGCACCGTAACCCTAAACCCTACACCCTGGCACAAATACATTCCATTGCATTCGGTTTCGGGGCCTCTGCGGCGGCACATCCTGGCTGGAACTGTCCAACCTGGTCCGACAAAGGGCTTCACTTGGGATGTTCCCCCTTATATTAATGGTCCTGAATAGGGTTTTGGCCCCTTTTGAATAGGGGTTGTAGTACCCCCGAATATAATCCTTAATAAGGACTGATAGTACAAGGGGGAACATCCCAAGGCTTCACTCAAGACCTAAACCCTAAACCCTAAACCCTGAACCCTAAACCCTAAACCCTAAGCCCTAAACCCTAAACCACGCGCCCAACAAACAAAGCCATGCGAGTGGGGATTCCATCGGGCCAGCTACCCTGTTGCTTCCCTGCTTCGAATATGGGGGGGGGCCTGAATAATTAGAATAGGCTTTTGGGGGGGGGTATTCTAGTATACTTCTATACTTCTAAAGGGACCCTGAGGGAAGAGTAGTATTTTCCCCCCCCCCCCCCCCTTAGATTACGTGAGGGCAGAACTAAAGACCCCGGCCAGAAAGCAAGGAACACTTCGCAAGGCACTTAGGCCCTAAGGACCCGAAACCCTAAACCCTAAACCCTAAACCCTAAACCCTAAACCCTAAACCCTAAACCCTAAACCCTAAACCCTAAACCCTAAACCCTAAACCCTAAACCCCGAACCCGAAAACCCCGTCAAGCCCTACCTGGGACCCTCTTTACCCACAATTCTATTGGGGTTATAAGTTACACCTACGAAGTAAGGGTAGCTACTACTCAACTGGCGGTAAATAGCGTCCAAGGGTAAGCCCTAGAATCACCAAGTTGGGCACCCTAAACCCTAAACCCTAAACCCTAAACCCTAAACCCTAAACCCTAAACCCTAAACCCTAAACCCTAAACCCTAAACCCTAAACGATACAGGGTTATAGAGTTTAATTAATATGGAGGGTTTCGGGCCGGCACAGAAGTGGGAGTTTACGAAAGAAGGGACACCTATTATGGACCCCCACATAGAAGGAACCCCTTATATCATAACGGCCCAAGTAAGGTACCCCTCATTTCGGAAATCCTAAACCCTAAACCCTAAACCCTAAACCCTGAACCGTTTCGGGTTCAAGGCTGGGCCATGGCCCTGGGCTTCCCAAGCGACCTGTGGCCTTCCGCGGAGCTTCCGCGACCCTTCCACAGGGGCCTTCTGCAGACTTCCTCTTTCCTCTTAGGGTGGTTCCCTTAGTATGGGCCCTTAAAAGGGGACCCCTTTTTTGCCCTGTATGTGTACCCAATACAACACAAGGGCCCATACTTCAGAACCCTTTACAGGAGGTAAGGGACCATAGCAAGGGGCCATGAAACCACCCTTAGATGTCTGAAACACCTTGAAAACGCGATGGGGCATGATGCGGTTTGGTTGCCGGCGTGTCGGGTGTCAGCCATACAATCCCGAAGCACCTATTGGCTTATGATGGGCTAGGTTAAACCCGAAACCCTGAACCCTAAACCCTAAACCCCAAACCCTAAGAGCCCTAAGCCCTATCGAAGCTCCGTGAATGCCAATTAACATTCCTCGAGCGCCCAAACATATTTTGTTCAAGTGGGCAATGCCTTCCTATGACCCGTAAACCCAAAACCTAAACCCCAAGCCCTAAACCCTCAAACCCTAAACCCTCAACCCTAACCCCTCAAACCCTAAACCCTAAACCCTACAAAGCCTTCCTATGACCCAAACCAAACGCAGCTCACCCAAACCCTAGACCCTAAACCCTAAGCCCTAAACCCTAAACCCCTAAACCCTAAACCCTACAAAGCCTTCCTATGACCCACACCCAAACCCTAGACCCTAAACCCTCAACCCTAACCCCTAAACCCTAAACCCTACAAAGCCTTCCTATGACATCTCCCACGGCAGAGGCCTATCTCCGAACGCTGGAGCCGCAGCTGGCTCGGGCCTTTTCAGGTGTTGGGGGCCCTCAAACGCTAAAGCTCTTAAACCCTGAAACCCTAAAGCCCTAAAGCCCTAAAGCCCTAAAATTCTAAAACCCTAAAACCCAAAAACCCTAACACCCTAAAACCCTAAAACCCTCCTAAAACCTGCCCTGCTTGAAGGTCCACACTTCAGTCTCCAACGGTACACGCACTCATCTCCCTCCTTGTTTACAAAACAAACCATAAACCTCCGGTAGGCCCTACAAGCCAAATCTACAAATTCGAAGCGTACACATGTGAAATATATAATATATACATACGTATGTTTTCATTTATTTTTCCAACTTTAACCATCCTCATCAACCCAAGCCCCCAAGGTACGTGTACTTGTAAGCCTACTTGTGTACGAAAACACATGACCTTCAAGTAAAAACTGCTCAACTCAACCTCAAAGGGCAATTCAGGTACAGATAAGGATAACCCTACTCGTTGGAGACGACTTAGGGTACCTATAGCCCTTCTTCGGTACTACGAAAGAGCATGCCTCTTAAAGTAGCCTTCTAGCTGGTTCACGCGAAGAGCCCGGAAACCTGTGCAAACCCCGCTAAACCCTAACTACACCCTAAACCCTAAACCCTAAACCCTAAACCCTAAACCCTAAACCCTAAACCCCACTGGCCTCCACAGGGGCGTTTCATCTACATTTTGGGCTTTTTTGTAGACCCGGATGGCGCGTTAAAGCCTCAGAAAAAAATGTCCCTGAATATGATCCTCTGAAACCCAATAGGGGGAAAATATACAAAGAGATGAAATACAAAATGTCCCATGGGCCTATCTAGTAGAGGGCCTCGGTCAAATAATCTTGCTATTGCTTATGCATATCAACTTGGTGTTGTTCAACGGGCTTAGGGTTTGAGGCTATCCCCCGAGGCGTTTGGGGGGGGTTTAGGGTTTAGGGTTTAGGGTTCAGGGCTTAGATACACCAACAGGACTTTGGGGCTTTAGGGTTTTTGGGTGCTGTAGCTCCAGAACAGGCACAGTGCGCTGAAATCCATGCTCGAGGTTCACGGGCGTTGAATGCTCATGAGTCCTGAGGTGTAGTGTAGCCCTACGGCTCCAAATAGCCCAAAGTATGTATTATGTACAGACTTTAGACCCTAATGTATATTATTTGTATACTTGGGGCCCGAGGGTAGTGAGCCCGGCACAGAAGCATGTGTGAGTTTTTTCTCCCTGCGGCCAAACAGGCTGCGAGGTCAGTCCAAACTCGTTTGACAGGCAGCCTCTGTGAACTGGGGACAACGACCAAGTGGATGTTGTTCGGCGATAATAACACTGGGCAGAACTATGCTCCGACGCGTTGTTCTGTAGCAGACTCTACACAGGGGCTACCTGGGGGCCTCCGCGGCCATGTTGGTGTGTTGCAGGCAAACGATGCTAAGCTTTGTAGCAGAAGATCGGCGATTGCAAGCGGACTCTGACCCCTGATTAAGACCTACCGCTACGCATCTGTGCATCCAGCCGCGGGATTGATCTGGAGGTTTCCCAGATAGGGGTACCCCTTTTGGAGGTTCGTATAATCAGGAGTGGGAGTATGTTAGGGGTATATTCGGGGGACCTGTTGCCCTGAACGGAAATGCCCCCATCTCGGATAGGATCTAGTGGTCTAGCGTTTGGGGATTGTTTATACTGGAGGTTGTGTGTGTGTGTGGGTATTCTAGGTGCCAATCAAAGTTAGGAATACCAGGGTAGCTAGCTTTTTTCTGTGGTTCATCAGGTCACCTCTCTAAAATATGGTCCTTTTTGGGGTCCTTATGATAAGGCGGCCCCTCACAACCTCTGACCTGCAGGTGAGAGCCACGAAGCGACTCGCCATCTGGAGCCTCATGAGCCCTTGAATCCTAAGCCCTAAACCCTAAACCCTAAACCCTAAGCCCTTAACCCTAAAATCCTATGGCCCTATACATCCCCATCCACAGCTTCAAGCCTTCCATCCTCAACCCTGTCATCTTAACATGCATGGTCCCTTCGTGCCCTTATAAACAAGGGTTTAGGGTTTAGGGTTCCCTGAGTATAGGCCCTTAAACGGGGACTCCTTATGTACCCCTTGTATACCCTATACAACCCAAGGGCCCATGCCTAAGAATCCTTTAAAGAAGGTAAGGGACCAGATGAAGGGCCCATGAAACTACCCTTAGATATAATAAAACCCTAACCCCAGAAGCCGAGTGCACCAGGAAAGTTCAGTGACTTTAGCTTGGTAGCCGGATTCCCCAAAACCCAAAACCTAAAACCCCAAACCCAAAACCCTAACCCTAAACCCGAAACTTCAGTGACGATGCCGCTCGTTGTGACGCCATCTCAGCTCGCGGGCCACCGCTGCCTTATGCAAGGGGGCTGGATTTGGTTTCATGGAAGTGAAAGTGTGGGGATGACTGATCCACAGTGCGCTGGAGGGCTTATAGGGTTTAGGGTTTAGGGTCTAGGGTTTAGGGCTTCCTAAGCCCTAAGCCCTAAATCCCCCCATGCCCCCGAGACTGAACCAAACCTCATGCAGCGCGCCTTCTTGGCAACGTACGCCGCGCGCTGCTGCGTCGCGCGGAGGAAGTCCTCGGCCGTCATGTGGTCAGAAGGGCAGGGTTTGGGGGGGGGGGGGGAGGAGGGGGGTTCCACTTTAAAGGGACTTGATCGGGAACCCCAAGCATTGGAACCCCAAGAATAGAGTAGGAATATGCCTACCAAGGTCCTTGTATTCCCGCTATATTCCTACGATGAATGCTACAAGTAGTACCACACAAAATAGTGAAGCTCCGAATACTTGCCCTAGACCTAAAGCACAATGCCGACCAAATTCCAAAAACCGTCAATGGTCGTTACGAGCTACTGTACTTGGAGGTTCAGGGTACTTAGCAACCAATTACAACTGTACTTATAACCATGTTAGGGCACTAAGTGGGTTACAAGTACAGATACAAAGTGGTTAATAAGTACCCCGAAACTCTCAACCCTAAAGCCGTGAGCTGCCAACTATACTCCCAACCCGAAACCCTATACCCGAAACCCTAAACAACTATTGTTTATATCAGCACTGACATTTTGCTCTTGTCATTTCTACATTAGGGGATAGGATTAGGGGGACCCTTGGGGGGGATGGGCCCTCTGAATAAGGTCCCTGTTTAAGAGAGCCAGAAGAGGGTTAAGAAGGGTTCCCTTTTAAGGGCCCCCCCCTTCTCCTACCTAGGATACATTTTCGTTTTTCGACTTCCAGTAAGGTTTCAAGATGAACTCTGAAGCAGGCACCCCAAACTCTCTCCCCAAACACCCTAAAACCCGGAACCCTAAAACCCAAAACCCTAAACCCTAAACCCTAATCCCTGCAAAGCAGGCCAAGGGTCGTTACGCTTCATCTCTTCCCCGAAGTGCTGGAGCTCCTGGAAGAGCTGTCGATCCTGCATCCGATCCGAGTTTCTAGGGTTTAGGGTTTAGGGTTCAGGGTTCAGGGTTCAGAGTTACTTTTTTTATCTATCTATAGTTTTTTGGGGGAAGGGGATGGGGGCTGGGTGGGATTGCAGTTCAGGAGCAAAAGGTTCTTAAGGCTTCTAGGGTTTGAGAACTAGGGTATGATTGAGCCGCCCCAAATCACAACACCGATTCAGGGTCAGGGGTGTAGCTCCGTTGACGGTGGCCTCAGACCGGTAACCCTAAACCCTAAACCCTGAACCCTAAACCCTGAACCCTAAACCCTAAACCCAGAAGGGGATGGCTGCAGGAGCCGCTGTTTTAGTCTGAGTATGGTTCAGGGTGTTTTTTCTCATCAAAGCGTCGTCTGAAGGGGCCAACTGCTTTTTCTTGCACCGGAGCCGAACTGGGGAATTCTGCAAGCCTGGAGGGGCGAGGACAAATAATACTTTGGTACGATTTATGCATGCGTACTCAGAAAGGTGTGCCTGATCTGCCTGGAGGCTCGAAGAGATACAAGAAAAAGACATTTTTCAACATTGTTTGACTATTGTTGTTTGTTTGAGCCAGAACTCGATTGCACGCCCATAGCCTCCGAACTCAACTGCAGATGCCTGCGGTTTAGGGTTTAGGGTTTAGGGTTTAGGGTTTAGGGTTTAGGGTTTAGGGTTTAGGGTTTAGGGTTTAGGGTTTAGGGTCGCTCTGGAAATAGTACGATGATAAGAAGTATGAAAAAACCTACAAACATTAAAAATCAAAAAAAATCTAGAGGTCCTAGGAAGGTCCTAGTACTTCGGGCTTTAGGGCTTAAAGTTTAAAGCCTAGAGCAGCCGGCAGCCTGCTAATCTGAGATCTTCTCCTTATAGTACTACCTATATACACTCGCCAACTCACCCTGAAGCACCAGCACCCTAGAGCCCAAATTCGGACTTAGCTGGTAGCCTAAACCGTGAACCCTAAACCCTAAACCCTATACCCTAAACCCTGAACCCTAAATCCTAAACCCTAAACCCTAAACCCCAAAACCCTGTCCTCCAAGAAGGACGATGATTCCAGTGGGCCTCGTCAAAAGCCCTACGTACGGCAGGACCCCACTCCCCCCGAACTGAGAGGCGAATCAGGAATCAGGCTTCAATGAAGGCAGGTTGGGATGCTCCCCAACTAGCCTCCTAGAGGTCCTAGAGAGCCCACGAAGGTTTAGGGTTTAGGGTTTAGGGTTTAGGGTTGAGGGTTTAGGGTTTAGGGTTTAGGGTTTAGGGTTCTGACCCCGAAACCCTGAACCACCATGATGATCCTCCCCAGTCCCTGCAAACCCTACAGGTTCCTTGGGGAATCTTCGGGTTTAGTCCTACCCCTAAACCCTAAACCCTAAACCCTAAACCCTAAACCCTACATAAGGACAGTTCTCTAACTTCGGGTACCTTTTTGCCCCAACAGCTGCTGGGGCTCCCCGCCGTAGGTGTCCAGGAGCCAACATGCCACGCAGGGCTCCAAAGGCGCCGCCTCATGCAGGGTTTAGGGTTTAGGGTTTAGGGTTTGGGGTTTAGGGTTTAGGGTTTAGGGTTTGGGGTTGAGGGTTTGGGGTTTGGGGTTTGGGGTTTAGGGTTTGGGGTTCGGGTCAACTACCCTCCAACCCGAACTGAGGCCCAGCAAGTTGTTTAAGGGGCTCGGTGGGTGGGCGGGGGCGTAGGGGGAGCCATGTATGAAGTTCAAAAGGTGTACTTGGAGGTTCATGGTACTTCCCACTTGTAAGCCCCTTAAGTGCCCTAATATGGTTCGAAGTACAGTTAGAAGTACAGTTAGAATTGGTGAATAAGTACCATGAACCTCCAAGTAGGGTTTAGGGACGTATGGGGTCAGGGTTTGGAGTGTTAGGGTTGAGGTTTTGGGGGCTAAGGCTTCGGGCTTGGGGGTGCAGGACCAGTGTGCAGTCTCGAGGGCATCAGTGTAGCTGAAGTTGCGGAAACTTCCTCGCTTGCAAGAACTGACTCTATGTTCTCACAATATGCAACGTATAGTCATATCAACTATATGGTATAATCTAAACTATATTCTATACTATAACTGAAAATAGACTTGTAGACGCTGGAAGACCCAACTCAAAGCCCCAACTGCTGGCCCCTTCTCCCTCCACCTCTCCACTCCTAGTACGGGCATCCCTTGAAACGGCCCTTTACTGGGTTTAGGGTTCAGGGTTTAAGGGCCCTAAACCCTAAACCCTAAACCCTAAACCCTAATCCCCGCACCTAAAACTAAAACCGTCTTGGCGCCTTCTCTGCAGGCATGGGCAGCAAGCGACCTGACGAAGCATCCGCACAGGGACAAGAAGCCCAGTAGGTGTAGGGTGTAGGGTGTAGGGTGTAGGTTTGGGTGTAGGGTGTAGGGTTTAGGGTTTAGGGTTTAGGGTTTAGGGGGGGCGAGGGGGGCGAGGGGGGGGCTCAAGGTTTAAGACTTTTGGGCAGCCTAAACCTCGAAACCCATATTCCGCTCGGTCCAAGCTGAAATACTTGTTTGACCAGACAACATTTAGGCGGAGGATTGAGGGATTTGGGTTTAGGACAAAGAAGCACCACGCGCGCCTGGCGGCGTTGGAGCTAAGGGGGCCTCCCAAGCAACACTCACAGCTGAGACTAAAGCACCTAGGCCCCCAATGACCTACGAGTACTACCATTTTGGACCCACGCTATTGGGCTCTCAGTATGCTCCGGCTCTGCTTGCCTGCTCCTCTGCTCTCATTCTGCTCTCCCGCTCGGATTGCCTTCTCCTCTGCTCTCATTATCCAGGTTATATAACCGTTTTGCTTTAGGGTGACGGCTGCAGAACAACAAGGGTAAACCCACACCCCAGCTTACATGATGAACGGATGCTAGACCCAAGAGTAACCTCGGAATAAAAAGGGGACGCCCTTTTTGGGTTAAAGGGGCTTGTACGGGACGCTAAACCCCCAAAAAAATGAAGTTAAGGACTTATAGTCTGGGTCCGAGGATGTGAGGTATACAATTATGGGGCGTTGCCACCGTAACGAGCCGAACACCGAGGGCTTAAGCTTAGAGGGTGCAGAATACCTCCAAGCCCTAAGCCCTCATAGACCCCATAGACCCTACAAACTCTGCAAAACCCAGAAAGCCCCCCCATCAAAACCGAGAAAACCCCTATAAGCCGATAAGCCCAGAACTCTTTAGGGTTTAGGGTTTAGGGTTTAGGGTTTAGGGCTGGGTGTAGGGATGAGGGATTAGGGATGAGGGTTTAGGGTTTAGGGTTTAGGGTTTAGGGTTTAGGGTCTGAACAGCCCGGTCTTAGGGTCCAGAGCTCGTTGGGCTTACGGGGCATGTGTGATCCCGGTTCTCGAATCACCGACCCACCCCCCACCCCCACCCCCCCCCACCCCCCCCACCCCCCCCCACCAACCCCCCCCCCCCCAACCCCCCCCCCGCCCCCCCCCCCCCCACCCCCCCCCCCCACCATCCCCCCCCGGCCCCCACCCCCCCCCCCACCCCACCCCCCCCCCCCACCCCCCCCCCACCCCCCCCCACCCCCCCCCCACCCCCCCCCACCCTCCCCCCCACCCCCCCCAAAGGGTGGGGGGTGGAGGGCAATGATGCTGCAGCATATATGGCGGGGCTTGTAGGGAAGGTTTAGGGTGTGTAGGGTGTGTTTCTAGTTATAGGGTTCATACGATTTGTAGGGACTGCCCAGGGTGAAGTGCTTTGGCCTGCTGCCACTTAGCTGGCAGGACCGCCGTCTCGCGACGGCCGTAGGTGTTGTCTGGTTGAAGGTAGCCTGCCGCCCAATGAGGGTTTAGGGTTTCGGGTTTGGGGTTGTAGTGTGGTGTCTTCAAAAACTGGGTGTCAGGAGTTCCTAAACTTTCATGACTCAGATAACATACTGGTATAGAAAACGCTGCAAAGCCTCGAACTGAAATCCACCACCACCACCCCCCACCCCCTCTGTGAGAGTTTGGGGCTGAGGTGTCAGGGGCTTGAAGCTGCAAAAGAGTGAACGTGTGTCAAGAGGCCAACAATACACCACATCTCTACACAGCGGTTTATGAGGGTCGGCAGGGGTTGAGGTTTAGGATTCAGGGGTTAAGATTAGGAGTATTTTGTGAAGGGTTTCAGTTTAGGTAAAGTTTCGGGCGCAGGGTTTGGGGTTCGGGGGTTTTGGGTTAAGGGCGTGAGGTTCAGGGCTCTGCATGTAGGGCTCAGGCTTTAGAGGGTGAGACAGCTTCAACCAGCGGACTGCATTTTATCTCCTGCATACAAGCGAGAGGCCTTGAAAAGTATAGTTTTGAAAGCAAGCGAAGGGAAGCAGCACAACTGTCAAAATTTCCCAGGGAAAAGCTGTCACAAGCCTCACGGGTCATGAGCCCGAAGCGAAAACATGTGGCTGCAGTACAACGATGGCATCCTCGACCTCTGTTAGCCAAAGGTTTCCACTGGCATGACGCCTCCACTGCGCGGGCTGGTCGTACATCAGCTGCATAGCCATGGATATCTCAAAGGGGTTAGAGAACACACCTCGACAGGGGTTTGAAGGCCAATTCGGCTGAGCCTTAGGGTTTTGGTTTGCGGCAGTTTGCGGGTTTTTGGGCTACGGGCTAGAAGCCAGCCAAAGGTTTTGGACAACGCACCTCGACAGTTGCCATAGCGCTCGCAGGCTTCACAAAGATCTCCCCGGTGCGGCTTCTTTTCAAAGCCATCGCCGCTAAAGCCATCAGCCAGCATGAACTTCCTTACCCACTGCAAGATGCGTCAATAGGGCAACTTATGCAGCAACTAAGGCCTGGACCTTGAACCCTGAAAGCTACGTAAATGCTGACGCAGGAACCCAAGATGCCCAAGCAAAACTCATCAGCCTCTTGCCCCAGAAAATGTGTCATCTAGGAGCTTTAAGAATTAGAATAGGGTTTTGGGGGGTTATTATAGTATAATTATAAAGGGACCATAAGGGAATACTATGAGTAATTCTGCCGACCTCTAGATTAGAATGCTTTGGTGCTGCTCAGCCAGGTGTCTCCGACGGAGTGCCATATTCACCACACTGCTTGCATCGCTGACCCATGACTCGACCCTCTTCGAGGTTGTGGCGTCCAGAGTGGCCTAAACCCCAAAACTCGAACCTTAAACATCCTTAAAACCAAACCCTAACCCTACACCCGAAACCCTAGAGACCCCAAACAATACTGCAAAACACTATAAACCGATCCCACAACCCTAACCTCAAACCAGAAAACCAAACCCCGAACCCTCCCGAGTGGCTTGTCCACTTCTCACAACCAACTGAGCGAGCCACGGGCGCTGCCTTGCGCAGCGGCGACAGCAGGCACCGGAGCTGTCGTGACAGTCGCAGCGAAGTGTGCTGGGTGCACCAGAACTGCGTGACCCCAAAAGCTTGGGGGGGGGGGGGGCCCCCCTTGATTTTGAGCATGTTGAAAAATGTGGGCGCGGTTTGGACGACTTTGGAAGATGTAGGGAAGACTTTGGAACATTTTGGGAATATCTGAAGCTGGAAGGTTTTGGCCAAAGCCGGATGTGGGCAAGCCACTCGGGACGGTTAGGGTTTGCAGTATGGTTTATAGTTTTGGGTTTGAGGCCAGGCTCAGTGCTCTGCCCAAGCGACCCACCCAGTTTATGACCTTGGTCAGGTTTAGGGTTGTCTAATGAAGGCCTTGCATTTTGCCCGTTATAAATCCGAAAAAATGTGACGCACCCGCCCTGACGGGGGAGCTGGGGGAAACCTCTGACGGGATCCCTGACCGGGAATCCTGGTGGCTTTGACGGCGTATACTCCGACGGGGTCGCCCCTGAGGGAGCGCTCTGACTGGCAGCTGATGGGGAGTTTTTGTTCTCCTTGAAGCGTAATTCCCAAGCCCCAAATCCTAAACCGTCCCAAGTGGCTAGTCCACTTCCCACAGCAATGAAACGTCGCAACGATCTTGCACATGTGCTTCCCGCTAAGGCGGTCTTCACCTTACCATTGGTTAGGACTGGGAAGGGTTTAGTTTCTAGGGTCTAGGGTCTATAGGGTCTAGGGTCTAGGGTTTAGGGTTTAGGGTTAGGATTTGACAAGGGAAAAATTCGGGTTTATGGCTTAGGATATTAACAGGCGTTGGCTTGAATTAGGCTGCAGGACATGGACCATTCCTTGAAGGGCTTCCTTAAAGGACATTTCCCTAAGGATGGTGAGGGATAGCTCATTCCCACCCATTCCCAACTAATCCAAAAACAGTTTAGGGTTTAGGGTTTAGGGTTTAGGGTTTAGGATTTAGGGTTTAGGGTTTAGGGTTTAGGGTTTAGGGTTTAGGCAAGTCACTTAGGCTCTTCTTACACACGGGGCATCGTCCTCCTCCCTTGCCTTCACTCATCTTCCCTTTGCCACTGCGTTTGCCTTCGTCATCGAAGGCACCCATCCTTGCTGCCTCCAGGAAATCCTCCTCGTCCATCTCCCCATTGGCTAAGTCACGTAGCCAGCCTGCTCCGTTAAGCAGCAGGCCCCTCTTCACCCGAACATTTGCTTTGGAAACTCTAGACCCAAAAAAGTCTCTTAAAACGATTCCTATGGGGATGAAGAGGGCTCATGCCTAAAACTTCCACCCTCAACCCTAAAAACCCTATAAGCACCCTATATTCCCTATAAACCCTAACTAACCAATGGTGAGTCGCTGTCCGTGAGTTCTCTCTGAGGGCTGTGAGGAGCTCCGCACCGTAGTCGCCGAGGACCTCCCACGGCTTCCCCCACTACCCCCCAGGGTTTAGGGTTAAGGGGTTAAGGGTTTAGGGTTAAGGGTTTAGGGGTTTAGGGTTTAGGGGTTTAGGGGTTTAGGGGTTTAGGGGTTTAGGGGTTTAGGGGTTTAGGGGTTTAGGGGTTTAGGGGTTTAGGGGTTTATCTATACTACTTGGAGGTTCATGGTGCTTGTTAACCAATTGTAGTTGTTCTCAGTGGGTCATAGGTGCAGTTATAGTTAAGAAGTACCATGAACCTCCAAGTACCCCACCTAAATTTCCCCCTATGGTGAAGGCTGTTTAAGGCTGATTAAGCCCAATTAAGGTTATTCAAGGGGGAACCCTAAACCCTAAACCCTAAACCCTAACCCCTAAACCCTAAACCCCACCCATGAACCTCGGAGCGAACAGACACGTAGAACGTCCGTCCGCCCAACTGCAGGAGCCACTGGGACCCAGCTTGGCGCTGAAGGTCGCAGGCACCTAGACCCAGGAGTAGCCTGTACCCTATTAACCCTAAACCCTAAACCCTAAAAACCTAAACCCTAGGAATATAAACAAGGGTGGCCCCTTTTGTGGCTGTAAAGTGGCTTATAAGAGGACCCAAACATCCCAAAAAGGGAATAAGGGCCTACTTTCCCAAAGGGTCCATGTACCTTTTTAGCAGATACTTAGGGGCCTTAAAGGGGTTCCTATGTAGCTTCAGGGCCCAAGTATATACCATATAGGTACATGGACCCTTAGGATCTGGGTCCCAGGCACCGATCTGGGTCTCCAGCTCAAGCCTCAACGCCCGCTCGAAATGCACAACTCCTGCGAACCCTAAACCCTAAACCCTAAACCCTAAACCCTAAACCCTAAACCCTAAACCCGGACAACGTACTGGAAATGCACTGCTGCAATGCCTTCCAGATCTTCTTCCCAGTGGCCGGCAGGTCGGAATAGATCTGCTGTGCTTTCCTATACTGAACTTGGAACCCTGGCAAAAGATTGTGATTTTTGCTGTTTCTTGGGAATTAAAGTGCCCAAAAAAACCAGAAAGTATTTCCAAGTATCCCTAAGTTTCTGCGCCATGCTCTTCAACTCTTCTTGTGGGGATAGCCAAGCTTCCTGCTCTTGCCACGCATATCCCTGGGCATACTGATTGTTGTTGCCCCACTCGTCACCATAGGACGACCCATTCCAGGCTTGACTGTCCCACTGACTTCCCCAAGTCTCTGTGGTCCAGTAGGTCCAGTTGCCGGAGTCTGGCCCGGAGCGCCGTGGTCCTTTCTTGCCCCTGGTTTTGACCCATATCCGAAGCCTCTTTTAGGGGGGGTTTAGGGTTCAGGGCTCTGGTTGATGGGATGCAACAAGAGCCAGTGGCTGCGACGATCAACTTCCACTTACAAACGCTGAACATAGTAATAGTTGGGTGTTTCAAAACTGGGATCCCGTGTATCCCGTAGGGATTCCTAGGGGTTTCCTTAGGACTTCCTAAGTGCAATCCTCCATGGGTTTTGAGAAACACTGAACTGTCCAGCGCTTGCAGGCGCATGCTCCCAAACCCTAAACCCTCACTAAGCCATAAACCCTCTGTGCCCTAACCTCTAAATATCCTAAACCCTGAACCCTAATCCTAAACTTCTAGACCGTCAACCCCCTATCCCGACCCAAACCCTGCGTCAAGCCTTCACTGGATGTGGTGTCTCTTGCGTCGCGGTTTTGGGTGAGAATTCATGCTGAGGGCTGCTTGGGGTTTAGTGTTCAGGGTTAGGGTTTGAGGTTTAGAGTTTAGGGTTTAGAGATAGGGTTTGAGGTTTAGGATTTAGGGCTGTGGGTTCAGGGTTTCGGGTTTATGTCGATCATCATGGGAAGTTCGGGGCGCCCCGCACGCGAAGGCTTGCTGGGGCAAGTTGAAACCCTTCTCGTGGTAAGAGCTGCCACGATGGGTTCTTGCACAAAAAACCAAAAAGTAAGTTGGGCTAGGGTTAAACAGAAAATGATATAGTACTCTGAGTATGGCGATACGGTAACCGACCTCAAGTTCCTTAACAAAAGCAAGCCAAAGAAGGCCTCTTGCTGGGCGACGTGCTTCACAGACAGGTTGCTTCGCAAGCGCTGCCAGCACCTAAGTCTACAGCCCTTCAGCCGCTGAAGTATCCGATGTCAGTGCGTTAACCACCTCAATGTTCTGATGTGCTTCTTTGTTGGTTTGATTTGATTAACAAAAAAAGCTGCTGCTGCTGCTCCTACTACTACTGCTACTACTACTACTACTACTCCTACTACTACTACTACTACTACTACTACTACTACTACTACTACTACTACTACTACTACTACTCCTACTCCTACTACTCCTATTACGACGACGACGACGACGACGACGACTACTACTACTACTACTACTAGTTAGTACCAGTACTACTAGTACTACTAGCTAGTACTACTAGTACTACTAGCCAGTACTACTAGTACTACTAGCTAGTACTACTAGTACTATTAGCTAGTACTACTAGCACTACTAGTACTACTAGTGCTACTAGTACTACTAGTACTTCTAGTACTACTAGTACTACGAGTACTACGAGTACGACTAGTACTACTAGTACTACTAGTACTACTAGTGCTACAATTACTACAAGTACTACTAGTACTACTACTACTACTACTACTACTACTACTACTACTACTACTACTACTACCACTACTACTACTACTACTACTACTACTACTACTACTACTACTACTACTACTACTACTACTACTACTACTACTACTACTACTAGTACTAGTACTACTACGACGACGACGACGACTACCACTACCACTACTACTACGACGACGACGACGGCGGATTATGATTGGGCAAACCCATCATGGGTGCCAAGCTTTTTGAGCCCTCTGCCCCTGCTTATAAACCCCTAGAAGCCTAGGGTTTAGGGTTTAGGGTTGAGGGTTTCCTACCATTCCTAATCCCCATAAAGCCTTGAATCCTAAACACTCAATCTTGGGATCTTCCCCCCTTCTACTAACAGTCCTCAGTAGGGACTATAAGAGGGGGTTACTCTAATCCCTATTAAGGACTGTTAGTAAAGTATAAGGGGGAACATCCCAACCTGTAATCCTTAAACCCCCCAAGTTAAGCCCCAAACTCAGACCCCTGGGAGGATCCCAAACTGAAGGGTTCCCAAGAATAACCCAATAGTAGTACGGGGTACTACTTGGGGGTTCAGTTTTTGGAACCCTAAACCCTAAACCCTAAACCCTAAACCCTAAACCCTAAACCCTAAACCCTAAACCCTAAACCCTAAACCCTAAACCCCAAACCCTAAACCCTAAACCCCAAACCCTAAACCCTAAACCACTCTGCAGGTACCTCTTGGGCCAAGGCAGTCTTACGCCCAGCCAGGCCACAACGAGCATCAAGAGCTTCGGCGCGACCTCCCGAAAGCGTTTAGGGTTTAGGGTTTAGGGTTTAGGGTTTAGGGTTTAGGGTTTAGGGTTTAGGGTTTAGGGTTTAGGGTTTAGGGTTTAGGGTTTAGGGTTTAGGGTTTAGGGTTTAGGGTTTGCATGTTCCCCCTTATACTTTAACAGTCCTTGATAAGAATTATAATGCAAGGGGGAACATCCCAAGGCTTGGGCCTCTTTCTACTATTTGCTTCAGAACCCCCAAGAAAAATGAAACAAAAAAATACTCCCAATATTGACCTCATGAGAACGAATATTTTCTTATTTGTTTTTGGGGAGGGGGGCCTTAGACACATAGTAGGTTTAGGGTTTAGGGTTTAGGGTTGAGGGTTGAGGGTTTAGGGTTTGGGGGTCTGAATCCGTCCACATGGAACGGCTGGCGGTTCAGGGCCTTGATTCCTCATGCGTATATCATATATCAGAGGCTTGTGAGTAGTAGGTCGAGGTTCAAGGTTTAGGGTTTAGGGTTTAGGGTTTGGGGTTTGGGGTTTGGGGTTTGGGGTTTGGGGTTTAGGATTTAGGGTCTCAAATTTAGGGTGCAGGGTTCACTGCTGTAGCAGAAACCCTAAACTGTAAAATTCGGGTAGAGGGACTCATTGTTAACCATAAAAATTCAACCCTTCCTTTGTCACAGCACCAAGTGTCTAAGGTGCGCGATCCCTAACTAGGGTTTAGGACTGTTTAGGGCTTCGGGTGTCACTAAATCCGAAACTCGAAACCCTCTACAGCCTTCAGCCCAACAAACCCCAGCCCGAAACCACCCTGTCAGCCCCAAACCCTGAGCATTCTCTAAGCCTGAAATTACAAACCCCAAAACCCTGTGAACCTACGAAATACAAACCTTCAGCCCTCGGCCAACCCTAAACCCTAAACCCTAAACCCTAAATAAACCCTAAACCCTAAACCCGAAACCCTAAACCCTAAACCCTGAACACCCCGGGGCCCCCAACGCCGCGGCGGCGCCGACTGCGGCCGCGCCAGCGGGGTCGAGGCGTGCTTCCGGCCCATGGGCTTCGAGGGCTTTTTGACAAGTTTGTCGGGTGGTTTGTAGGGCCCTCTCAACCCTCAAGCCTAAACCCTAGCCCTAAACCCTAGCCCTAAACCCTAAACCCTAAACCCCAAACCCTAAACCCTAAACCCTAAACCCTAAACCCTAAACCCTGAACCCTTCATTATGGGGCTTTCGGACTTTCGGGGTTGGTCTTAGAGCTTTGGTTGAGAGCTGGATGGATTACGACATCAAGGACTCGATGGGGCACGACCCCGC